GGATCGAATCCCGGCTGCGACGTCTGCATTTTCGATGGAGGCGAAAATGCTGTATATGCCCGTGTGCTCCGATTTAGGCGCACGTTAAAGAACCCCAGATGATCGGAATTCCCGGAGCCCTCCACTACGGCGTATTTCATAACCATATGGTGGTTTTGGGGTGTCGAACCCCACATATCAATCAAATGAAATCAACAGATAGCATGTATAGCTATTCCTACTGTCACCCTTGCCATGCGCAGACTGCAGTATACATGTGCGCAGCATGGCGCACGCACAAGCTTTATGACGCAGATGCACATGTCGGTCTCGAGCAGCAGGACAGATAAGAGAGATCACTGCAGAAAGATTCGAACGCCTATTGTTTGCATCGTCTATGCGACCTGCAGGTGATGCACACAGACAATGACTGTCACCAATGTGTCACGTATACAAGTGACACATGACGAGCGCGTGTGTAGTGCACGCGCATTTCGCACGACAATCGCAGTCGCGTTGAACAAGCTTGTCGCAGTGCATATTCATGGGCGAGAGAGTTTCCCGAAAGGTTATGAGCACCTTAACTGAACACAAGAAACACATTATCTCTAATTCACTTGAAGAAAATATCAAGTAAAAAGCGCGTCTTTTTGTCCCGCAACGATACTCGTTATCTATCTTGCGCTCCTATCCTTGCACTATCGTTGAGTGCGCAGTACTTTCGGGTCACGAACGGCATGCGCGACATAGCTTTCTTGGTAGGAAAGTGGCCAGCGCCGAGATTTCTTGAAATGAAGTGGAAGCAAGCCCAATGATGATTATGGCTGTGGGGCTAAAAGACACCCTTTTATCAATTTTTTAATGTGTTGTGGCCGATAGAAACTACTGTACTTGAAAACTATAGACGTAACCACAGAATTCTAGGGTTGAGAGGAGAGGGGAGGGGGTATGTATGCATGTTTGGACATATTTCGGCGCACTTATTACACACATACACAAAAACTAAAAATTTCGGGGATGGGTGCTCGAACGTTACCCCGCCAAACCACCACATTGCATACGTCACTCCAAAGTCCGCGTCACTTTCAGAACAGCTCCATCTAATATGCGTGTGCAGTTATTCGTTCATGGTCGCTGGAGACATTCTATCAAGTGGCCGTGAAACCCAATCAAATTCAAATGTGAGCATTAGATAGATAGATAGATAGATAGATAGATAGATAGATAGATAGATAGATAGATAGATAGATACAGACAGACAGACAGACAGACAGACAGACAGACAGACAGACAGACAGACAGACAGACAGATAGATAGATAGATAGATAGATAGATAGATAGATAGATAGATAGATAGATAGATAGATAGATAGATAGATAGATAGATAGATAGATAGATAGATAGATAGATAGATTTTTTCATTGGCGTAGTGAGAATTTTCAGTGTTGCACAGAGGCCTTCTTCATTCACGCCACACGAATGCCATGATCAAGAGAAATTTTCCGATATATCCCTGTCTTCTTGTCATTACTCTCTCACGACGGCTCCTAAATCTATAAGCACCTTAAGTACCCGTGCTTGTATAGTCCAGTCTGGTATGAAGCGGTCACAAGTATGTTCACTTCTTTCTTCGCGTTGTCATTACCACCTACATTGCAAAATCCCGAATACTATATACCTCTCGATCAGCCAACCTGGACGCAAAAGAATTTCTGCTGTGGACGCGGGTTCTCAAACTTCTCATCTGTGGTAACGAGCGTACGTTGGCGGGAATACACTTGGAGCGCGTAATGATAAGACCTGCCTCGCGGCTTCGTAAATTGCTCACCGCCTACAACCTACTTACGCATGTGCACCTCGAGTTTGGGCATGTGGGCTGTCTAATTGTCATCGATGTTCCCTCTGCGTGGCACACCCTTGTGAAAATGGCTCATACACACTTGGCGACGTCCTTGAATGTTGCACCCACGAGTACGATGCCGTATCCGCTCGCATATATACAGCACTGCGCAGACAGAGTAAGGCGCGACGGGATACTGTATACTGCACGTTTCACGGCTATCATCGAGGTTGCTAAAGAAACGAAGCCAACAACACCTTCATTTTTTTCTGTTTACGTAATCTCGCACACATTCGAGCATACGCAACTGCGACGCTATAGTTCTCCACCGAAGCAAATGATTGATTGATGGATTGTTTCATTGATTGATTGATATGTGGGGTTTAACGTCCCAAAACCACCATATAATTATGAGAGATGCCGTAGAGGAGGGCTTCGCAAATTTCGACCACCTGGGCTTCTTTAACGTGCGCTTAAATCGGAGCACACGGGCATATACAGCATTTTCGCCTCCATCGAAAATGCAGACGTCGCAGCCGGGATTCGATCCCGCGACCTGCGGGTCAGCAGCCGAGTACCTTAGCCACAAGACCACTGCGACGGGGCTGGGACGAGAACCGAAAGTTCTACAAACGTCATTATAAGCACCCAACGCGAGATCAGCAGGTATTTCCAAGTAAACTTTCTGTTCATTAGGGTTCACCATCCCAGCATACATAGTGAGTGTCTTTCCTTTGATACTTACAGCATAGAGAAAATTGATAAAGCAAGGAAAGAAAAAAATAAATTACCAGTGCATACTATCATCTAATTGCTGCACGCGGACCACGGTCAGCAGTGGCGGTTAATTGTAATGAACCGAGAGAGAGAGAGAGAAAATAGAGGTGTACTATACTTTGTAAAGACTTGGTGCTGGGCTGGTCAGTATACATAGCTTCAAAAAAGAAAAAAAAGCTAGACTCCTAAGCTGCAGCGGAAAGAAGAAGCACAAGAAAAGAGCATTTGCCATTACGCCCTTTGTTTTTATGTCTACTGATCTATTGTTGAAAGATCAGATAGTTATCCAAAATGTATGACTAATTGTCAAGTATGGGTTGCCTCCATGGAGTTTTATATAGTGTTACCTTGAGTGGAATGTGGCGCTGCGATCATCTAACCCATGGGAATAATGGGGAGCAGAGGCTTCGGATCGGATTGCGTTAGCTAGCGAACTATCCACGGATCCATTTCCACAGTTTCAGTTTCTTCCGCAGCGTGGGTAGTGGTGTGCGGTGCAAAGCACTGAAGCAGCACCTTTGTTGTTCAAAGAGGCTGAAGTCCACTAGGTCTGAGATTTACTGTGGCTTCAGAGCTTTACGAGTCGTATTTGACAGTTTAAACAAAGCATCGCCCACTCACCGCTGCGCATAGACGTAGCGTTTTCATGCCAGTGCAGAATATTATATCGAGTTCACGTTTTTTTCGTAAGCGCGCCTTGCCAAAACTCGTTTAAATCGACTGCATAACGACAGCGAAGATAAGTAGACGCAGCTTCACGCTCCTCTGACTCGACTTCACAACAAAACGAGAGGTGCGTTGGTGGCAGACCACTTGGACAGACGCAGCTGGCATCGCAGCAAATGAAACGTTGAAGTGTTTCTCACCTAATACAGTACTTTTATTTACATAAATAGACAATGCGTACTTTCTAGAGCGAGACAAAAATGGTTGTTTTGAAATGTTGTAAATAATATTTCATTACATCTTGATGCCAAATCTGGAATGCAATGGCAGAGCAATGCACACCCTGGCGACTAAATTTGTCGAGGTTTCACTTCTACCTCATGGTCACGGAAACTTCTTGCAACAAAATTTACGTACGAAAAATGAAGCAAGCTTAATTCTATAAATTCGTATAACTTTGTTTAGACTCGGCAAACAAACGTCACGAATCTCAAGAACGCGATCCATCCGAAGCAGATCCGAAGCCTGTAGTTCCCGAAATTCCCATGACGGTACAAGCGCCACTGAAGGAGCCCGCGTAGACACTAGTGCCACATTCCCTTCTAGGTATTGTTGTATGAAGCTCTATGGCTACCTCTATAATTACTATTCAGTTTTTATAGTCCATTTTTGGCAGCGATTTAACATACCACGGGGACGGGCAATGTGACCTCCAAAAGCGCATCGGTGACACTGCATATTCCCGCAATGTCGTACACTGTTTACACACTTGATGTTATCTATACATATCTGTTGGTGCTCGCGAGAATGACGAAGACCAATAATTTTCGCTCAGTAAAGCACGCCAATAACAATAATAAAAAATAAGTGTACTATGAACCAAACGGAAAATTCCTCGTATAGGACCGGTAACAAGCAAATGGCGAACGACATATGAAATGAAAATCCGAGATGGGCGAGTTAGGAGAGATCACGTTTGTCACCCGCAAGAGGTGCGACAACGTATTCGACATTGGCCCCGCCAGGCAGGCGGTTGGCAAGCAGTCATACGAATCTTTTGGACAGCGTTCAACGCACCTGTTGCCCGGTCGTCATTCCGTACGTCACTGCTCGCTTGCTTGGACGCCCGCCTTTGCCACAGTCTCGCGCACTTGTCCACACAAATACATCGAGAAGAAACTCATACGTACGGAGCAGCGCATTTACGCATTTCAGCAGGCTGTACACAGGACTGATCCCCGCACACCGCAACTATATAGTGAACGACGCATAGGCTGAATATTCATATCTGTCTGCGTCCACAAATGAGAAAAATCAAATACTTTTTGTTTTAACTGGATACTCAAGTTCGAGGGAGAAATTTACTTGAACTTAAAAAAATCGATTACTGAAACTTTATAAAAAAGCTGATAAGACGTGTCGTCGTGGGTAAACATGCATGCGGCCAGTGATGTTCGCTGGCACGTCCTGGCGCTTATTACGCAGAAGCCTCTTTGAGGTGCGCGATCACTGCCATTTTCTCAGGAGACGGCGCATGTCAAATATTCACAATGCCATGGGTGTGCATTCAGAATGACATTCAATATCGGCTACTGTAGCACAGAAGGTGAATCCACTAACGCTTCGTGCGAGATGAGGGAGGGCGGAGTCATTGCGACTCCGTCGTCCCCCTATTCTACGTTACAACTTATTATACACAGTAGCCCCTACATGCTGTGCGTGGATGGTGTACCCACCTTTCTTCCGTGTCATCGGCTTGCCGAAGTGCGTGATCACGATCATGTCGATGCCGCCGGATCCCACTGTAAGCACTCTCAAGCCGTGTGTTGCCCCGTAACACGAAAAGATGCCACGCCTGCCACGTGCCCCACGATAGTTACACGTTTCGACGAGCTTTAGACTCCCTCAGGTAAAAGTATGAGGACACAGTGCGAGAGAGGTTCTCCAGGTCAAGGATCTTCAATGGCTCTCCTGTGTGCGCCGCCGAAGGGACGAGGTCGACTGCGAGCTGGGTCGATGCTGAAAGGCCGCGGCTTGGCAAAAGGCAGGAGAGTCTTCTTGCCTGTTCCCTGATGGGTGGACCTCGTGGAAAAATTAGTGACAACACATTTCTTTAGATCTCGGTGACAGACCAACACTCCAGACGTCCAACGCAAGTCTCTGCAAGGGGCAGGTTCTTGGGAATTTTTCCGGTCAGCAGGGATAGTTCTCGGCCGTGCCCGCGATTCGACGACACATGCGACCGTCTCTTTTTCGAGTAAACACGGGGACAACGTCCGCGACAGTGCGCACAGTCGTCCCTGCTAGAAGAGAGGCAGGGAACGAGGTCTTCTGGTGCGCGTCCGCCAAGCACGAAGAGCTCCGCACACTTTCGAGGATCAACAGCGAGTGCCTTTGCCAAGTGTCCAGCTACTCACGGCAGCGCGCTTTTTTCTCTGGCAAAACAGTTGTACATATATATTTTTTGTTCGCGTGGCGATCGCGTGGGCCCGAACACGCAGGGAGACACAGAGCGCGACCCGCCCGCGCAAACCCGACCACGCTCTGTTGCGGCCAAGGCGAAGAGCGAGGTCCCGGTTGGGTGTCAGGAGCCAGCAGACCGCCAGTGGGCGCTGCTGTGGACTCTTTCTTTCTTTTCTCCTTTCTTTCTTTCTTTCTTTCTTTCTTTCTTTCTTTCTTTCTTTCTTTCTTTCTTTCTTTCTTTCTTTCTTTCTTTCTTTCTTTCTTTCTTTCTTTCTTTCTTTCTTTCTTTCAAGTTCTCTCTCAGGTGCAGCCTTCATTTCGATGCCCACGTTGGTGCGCGCCGGCCTCGGGTACACGCACAAACGCACGCACGCCAAGCGAGCACCGTGCCAAAGAACCCTGGGTCGTGCCAGTTTCGACTTGGGTCTCGCAGCGCCTGATGCGCTGAGGGTCGCTCAACGCGGGTTAAACAAGGGAAAGACCGTTGCTGCTCTGGGCCCTCGCCCTCTTCTGACCGCGGACTCGAACGAAACGAGCGAAAGAACTCGTGGCAGCAGTGTTGGAGCATGGAGCGAGAGACGCGTTAGGGACCCGTCTATTTCGTTTATGCCATCGCTGGTAATTTGTCTCCACTCTGTCGTGTACAAGCGTATGCTTTCCTTTTCCTTGTTACTATTCTCTGTTTTCTTTTTTGGGTATGTAATATCCCTATTTGTTTTTTCGACTATACCGGGTTTGTCACTAAGTGCGTGAAATCGTGTATATATTGACAGGCGCTTTTATCATGCCACATATTTCCTGTACTTGTCATATACTCTATTTGTCTCTACCCCGCCTGCTCTACATTTATTGGATCAGTGAATAGTGTCTTTGCACGGTTTCCCCAAGGAAGGAATGAAAGTAGGGAACAAAGCGGTAGAAGGTAGGGAGGTGGTTAACCAAAAAAGCACCTGATTGACTACTCTGCAATCGGGGATTAAAAAATGAAATTGAAAGATTAAAAAGAGAGATGATAGAACAAGAAAACGAGTCCAGTGATTTGGAAAAGCAAAGTTCGGGCGTTAGCTAGGTATATAGCGCTGGCCCATACGGCGCTGAGAAGTGGACAAGTGGGGAAGTTGTGGTGGTCAAAAGAATTATTAACAATGTGAAGCATAGATCATGATGACCTCCCTCACCTATTCTATGCTAAACATGTTGACAGTGGGCTGTTTATTAAGCACTGTAAAATGCCTCCCTCTCTCTTTATTCTCAATACAAGCATTGGAGAAATAATGGCAATGGATTTCTCGTATAGCATCAGCCACCATTGGGAGAGCTTCTGCGTTATCTAACCGACTACGATCACGGGCTACGAGTGGTGAAAGCAAGATAAGAGGGAAAAGTGGATTCTTTAACACTGAAAAAGTAGGCGAAAAAAATGAGTAGCGCTCGGTGCAGTTCTAGATAAAGCGCTAAATGCAGCTCCTCAACTGAGAAACTTAAGGAAGCACGAAGCATGGGCGCCCAGCGATCCCCGTTCCTAGAGCTTCCACTGCTCGGTTACGATGACGTCAATGTGTGAGGCAAGCGTATAGGGTTTGCCCGGTATGAGTAGAACCCTGTTAGTCGGCATTCGCAAACTCCTTGCGTGACATGAGTGCTACTTTTTGCTCTACTTTATCGACTTCCTGCTTGTTCACCGGCCGCTCAGATCAGCTGCTGACAGCGAGTTCCGTTAGGTTTAATTCCCTTAGGAACAGTTGAGCGCTTTTCGATGTGCAGGCGCCCTCTCTTGCGCGGTGCGGGTGTCAATCATATGCTTCTGAAGCATTTTTAGTGATAATAGGTTATTATTGCGATCACTTATTGGTTATTTCTGTTAATTATATTGCTACCCTTGATTTAGGCGTGTTTAAGCACTCGATTTTGAGCGTAATCACGCCGCATGAAAACAGTGGATGGGCGACAAGCTGGACCCCGAAAGTGACATGCACAAAAATAAGCAAAGAAAGTGCCTACGCTAAACGCGTGGAAGAAAAATCATGTTCATAACGCCGCGCCGGTTAAAGAGTTTTTATGTTGTAGGACAATTAACGTAGACATCTGAGCTGCTACACCTCATAAACAGTATGGATCGAGGTTTTCCAATATAATAATTTGGGATTGGAGAAAAAAAAAACGAATATTCTAGACACGACTTGCGAATATCAAATCGTACATTGAATACTTGGCTTCTAAATTATATGAAAACATAAAGCTGTCCAGCACTCAGTCGATAAGAGGCTGGGTTATTTAAATTACGCATGCATAACACCATTCGCAATGTGATCTCCAATCAATTAGGTAGTTTCTAGATGAGAAATGGCTGTATGTTTCTTTCTTTACTTCAACAATTACCATATTGAGAAGCTAAAAATCGTAAAGTCATCAACACACATGCACATACGTTTGTGTTCACTGAAGAACAAGGAATAGTAAAACATCGCAAATGTTCTAAATAGGTGTGTATATAAAACTGGCTGACAAGAGGTGCATTTAGTCCGATCAAAACTAAACGTTACAAGGTACGTTCCCTTTTGATTTTGATTTCGCGGGCTTGGGAGAAGCAGTGACACCTGTTACGTCATAAAATGCCCTCTGCGGGGAAACGCCACGTCCGCCAACTAATGCACGTCACGCAACATCTATCTATCTATCTATCTATCTATCTATCTATCTAGCTATCTATCTATCTATCTATACTATCTATCTATCTATCTACTATCTGTTCTAAAATAGTCGTTCACTTTATTATCTCCTTCAGGGGCGAATGAACCCACAGAGTCAGCGAGCGCCGGTTATGCGACAAGATCGAGCGAACCATGCATGTCAGCACTCACTCATCCGCGAACACTACGTTTAACTCTATTTTTCTGCCATCTCGTAACGAAAAAAAAAACAACCGAGTAGCTGGTGCAAATAGGCGCGGAGGGGCGTACGCGAGGAAGCAGCTTCCTAAGTGACGGGCCGCGCTCCGTGTCGGAGTAAGTAGTATTGATGAACCACGCTGTATTGCTGGGCGCCTTAAAAACTGGTTCCGAGCCGCTTTCAAACACACACCACCGCTCCCCGAATGCTCTCTGCAAACGGATCCTTTGTCGAAGCGAAGGACTCATGTCTTCACCACGCGCCGCCGTACTCTAAACTGAATTGCACGAGTTGTTTATACTGCAGCTCGCGGGCTCGTCAACCGGTCGTACACTCCCCCGACGCAGTCAAGCAGCAAACGTTTTTCTTCGTCGGAACGCGAACGAACGCGACGAGGACTTCCTTAATAGGACTGGGAGGCCCTCGAGCTCTCCCCTTCGTTCACTCGCACCGTGGATTGCGGTACATGCGCCAAAGTCGCATACGTCACGGTAGGCTAAGGGGGAAAGGCTTATATCACCTATGAATAAAAAAAACCCGGAGAAGTTACCTCGATGTATGCGCGACGTTGCTTCTTGTAATGTCGATTGTCCACTATGGTATTTACTCCATTAATGGCCACTCATTTAATGATCGAAACCTAAGCTTCTGCGGCATTAAATGAATATGAGCCGCTCGTTTCGAGAACTGATTGAAGTATCTCGTCTAAGTAACTATAAGAAGGTTGCGTGATGCGTTTGCTCCTGTGTCGTTTCTCACATGCATAGTTAAGGTTAAGGTTTCACATGCATGGTTAAGGATGGGGTTCATCGTACTCAACGGGGTCCCTTTTTGTGAGGTCTTTTCGTGTTTATAAGTCTTGGGCGTCCTCTCGAAACACCTCCCTGGTCGCACTTCTGCCCCACACCGCCCCCTTTCCCACTCTGCCCATCAAAACGAAAAGAATGCGGAACCACCATTTCCAAGCCAGAATGGAACCTAAGGGCAACTACAGTCCGTTTCTAAACTCAACAGCCAGCACCCCTCAATTTCTCTACTTTCGGTTTTCTAGAATGTGATAGATCGCAGATCTGTTTACGAACTCGTTCCTTATACCATCTTCGGACCGGATGAACGGAATGTCAAACAACAGAACATTCATCTATGCCGAGTTCTTTTCGGATTGTTTCGCTCTGTGTTTTCTTTATTTCACCGCGGTTTGTGTTCTGTACTCGCAGTTCTGGAAAACGATGTGCTTGTTGTTGTTCGCCGCCCACACTGCGCGGCTAGATCCCGGAGGTTGCGCAAGACGCCGTCGAAGCCACGCCTATATATGTTAACGCACGGTCTTGCACGTGTATACATATACATATATCTTGCCGGGGCGCCGCTCCTACGCGAGACGCCGCTGCAGTATACGTTGTTGGCTAAAACAGAGAACGTCATATTAGGCGTTGAGCGTTATATATGTTCTACACATTCGTGCAGTGCATACACACTCATGACCGCGGACGTGGCTATTCGGTTATGGTGCGCAGAGGCCGTGCTGCGAAGCTATATAAAACGTACTGCTGACGGGGAATGCTAGCGGCTCGTCCTCTGGCATGCCGACTGTTTGGAGAACTGATTCACGCACTCGTTTTGGCGGGCGCCGCCCTAAACAACGCGCGGCATTCTCGCACGTGCTTGCACGTGTGTACTACGCATTCGCGCATACTTCCGGCTCAGCTCATCCCGTTTTCAGTGGCCACAATTTTTTTTTCACTTTCTGGGTATTTAGTTGCTTTCTTTTTTATTTGGGCGCGTTTTTCGTGTCCTTGAAAGCAGCATATATTGCTACAGCGGACGAGACGTCTTTGAAAACACTATGCGACCACCCCGGAAACTGCAGGATGCTCCGAGTGTTTAGCGCAATTCAAAGACAATAAAATGAAACAAATGTAGGGGTAGAATCTATAGGACAAAATGGCAGCGCACACAAAAGCAGTTGTTTGTTTTGTTTATTCAGTGTGGAAGACCGTGTTGCTCAGCTCACACCCAGACGAACAGTTCTGGGCAATTCGACGGCCCGAGGAA